CCATTTCCCTACATCACGTACACTACTATTTAAGCTTGCTCTGTGCACCCCAAGATTAGTGGGACGTCCCTCTGCCAGCAGCTGCAGGATGTAAGGAAAAATCCTGGCTCATGATACCAGAAGGAGTTAAATCTCAGATTGCAACTGGGGCAGCTGGAGAAGTGCAAAAGGCAGCAAACTGAACTTCATGCTCTAAACCAGCTGTTCCAAACTTAACCAGGTGCCAAGTACCACAAGAAGAGTTTGGCGAGAGCCCAGGAGGATTTCTGCAGAGGATTAAATGCCTCTTACTGCAAATCTGACCCCTTTAACTAGACACATAGCCCAATTAAAATATCACAAGAGGACATCACAGAAAGTGGTACTTGCCAGCTCTTTCATACACCAGAATTGTCAGAGCAATGCAACTTGTTGATTAGTATGGGACTCTTGAGATACAGAGGATGAAAGACAACACAGTAAAACAGGCTTCTAATATCTCTTTCCAGTAGTTCCCAATGTTCTATACCAAAGAAAGCATATTTCAAAGACGACAAGGGTACAGAGCACTTCCGTTGCCTAACCTCTGCGCATCCCAGGGAATCAGAGACAATGTGCTTGCACAGAACTCTGCAACGGGGAGTGTGTCTCTCACCTGATAGTATTATCTGAAGAGCCGCTCACTACTAGCCTGTCTCTGTACTGCAGACATGCAATGCCTCGTTTGTGGCCATTTAAGGTGCGCACAAATTCGCAGGTACTAGTGTTCCATACCTGTGACAGGAAGGGGGGAGGGAACCACACAGAGACAAAATTATTAGGAAGAGACTAATAAAAGCTGGTATCTGTATGATATATAGGTGCATCCAGAATGCTTTTAATTGAAGATGTTATCATTAAGACTGGGAAAATTACCCCTCCGATGACTTGTGACTATAGTCTGCAACTGTTAGCAGCTTGGGTCACTGTACACACAAGATTTTTGCCACACCGTATGAGAATTAGCTTCCAAAATCAGACTTTAACACTCTCGGGCTATGATTTAGTCTACACAGGATCTCAATTTTCCTCAGTTTTAAAGCTGCAGATTGGGGTCATAGCAGTAACACTTAACTGACTCCTATCCACTCACCTTCACTTTTGCCCTTATGCTGTCCTCTGATAACTGTTCGAATGACTGATGCTGAAACAGATTATGGAAGTGGTCAAGTCGAAAAAGAACACAGAAAAAAAGTCCTTTTTCAACTGCATCTGTACCTGGATCTGATTTGCCATATAGCTCTGTAAACAAGTTGTGCAAGCTCAGCAGAGGAGGGAGGAGTGGAAATGAGCAGCAGGAAGAACACCGCTTCCAAAGGAAGATTTGTGTAATAACTGCCAAGGACCATCTTCCCTGTCTGGTCACTGTTCTTGGTTATTAAATACCCCAGTGCTGCCAATAAAAAGCCTCTGAAACACCTCACCTTTATAGTTCTGTCACCTGATGCTGATACAATGTACTTGTCATCAAAGTCCACTACGTTGACGGCAGCTCGGTGCCCTACTAGCACCCTCCTCAGGGTGATGTCTGTTGGTGAAGCCATGTCCCACACAGCAATGGAGCGGTCTTTGGAACAGGTCACCATCATGCCGTTATTGAAGCGGAGGTGCAGTACTGCTTCGCAGTGGTGAATCAGAGTATTCAGCATCTCGCCTGCATTCACGTCCCACACCCTGCAGTTTCAAGTTTCAAACCAGAGAGAACAGAGTTAAAAAAACGTACAGCGGATTTTCTGCAGAGCGAGAAAGGGACGGGGAGAGGTAACCGATTCTCTAGCAATATTAGAGAAGCAAACACCACAAGTTATATCTACGTCTATTAAATAGTTCATTAAAAGATGTATTATATAAACCTGTTGATTATGCATACATTGAAACAGTCCAGCAGCCAAAAACCCTGCAATGCAGTTAACACCATAAAAATAACCCAGCCAGGAAAAAAGCGTTCTTTAATTAAGTGAATTTAGTGCTGAGGAAAGGTATGAGATTGATGGCCTTAAAGACTGATGTTTCCTGGTTCTGTCAGCCTACCACACACTCCATTTCCAATCATGACCTGTGGAGAAGCAAGTTCAGCGACAGGTTTAATTTTTGACCTCTCTCACAGGACTATCAACTCAAACGATAACTTACACAGGAGCAGAAGACAAGATAATGTTTTTCAAACAAATATAAGTAATTGCCACAAGTTGCACCACGAATTGCATTTACCCTGCAGTGCACCTGGTACACAGCTACATTCCAGGAATGTCTGAATACCCAAATTAAGACAGAGTATTTATGTAAATTTAATGTTATTGGAACCAACTGTTTCAGCTGAAAGATAATTTAAGATTAAAGTTAGACAAAGGCTTCATACAGAACTTCTAGGACTTGAAATGAAGATTTTAAGCCTTAAAAATGGTTCTTTTGGGCTATTCTGTTGGAAAATTTCTTTTACCCTCCATAAAGAGATTTCTTTTGGCACTATCACACCTGTATCCCAGATACACGACATGAAAGCAGAAAATGGCTGTAACATCAGGCACATCAGACATTGCAGAAGTTAAAACTCTCCTCTGCTAATAAGGCGAGCAGTAAGAAACGGCAAGATGTGAGAAAGATTTCTAATGTTTTATTTTCTAACTTATGGAGGCTGAAGTGCATCAACTTACGGACTATAAATGAAAAAGAAAACTACATTCCAATGACAAAATGTAAAGGAGAAAACCCCACAGACCAAAGACCTGAGCCATTAACATACGAGCAGTTTGCAGACAGGGTTGCCAAACTGAACAGGAGCTGGAGACCTACTGACTTCTTTGGACAAGTGCATCCCTGAGATCTCAGAAGCATTAAGAGTCCATCTGTACTGTCTATTGGATGAAGCCCCTCTTCCTGAGGAGACCCAAGGATAAAAGTGACGCATCCTATGTGCCTCTGGGGTCTCCACAAACATTTATAGATACAGTGGGAAACAAAGTATTTCTGGGCAAGTAGCCAGTCTGCAATTTGGCCTGCCTGGCCCGATACGGAAGATGATAGTGCTTGTTACAGAAATCAGCCTCTCCTTTTGCAATCTGTTTAGCACAGTGCAGTTCCCACACTGTCTCCAGGCAGGCGGTATTGCTGAAATTCTGGATTCCTAATAATGATATGACCCCAAAATCTAGCAGCACCACAAGACTGCATGCATCACATGTCAGGAACCAAATTTAATCGTTATTAGCTTAACAGTGGTATTTTACATGCAAGCACGGTGATAACCATGAGGAGCTTGCAGCCACAGGAACGCATGCTAATAGCTTCAGAAAAGGCCACTGACACAGCTTTTTGTTGTCTGTAACTTCACCGTATGGGCATTGTTTGTACTCTGGCAAGAAGAGAATATATAACAATATAGAGAAGACAAACTTGCTCCTCCACATCCAAGTTTATATTGCAATTCACTAACTCATATGTGCCTGTATTTACACTGCAGGCCTTAGACTCTCTGGGATCCTGCAATATGTCTAGTGGACTTCACATCTGCACAATATGCACCACAAGTGCTGACTTGAGGTGTCCAGCCTTTTGCTGGAGACGGGAAGGAAAGCAAGGTTAGAAAGACTGAATGAAAAGAAACATCATGCTGAAATTAAAAGCCACAGGAGATCTAGTCATACATCTTTTGTTAAAATTAAGTGACAATGGATGACTAAACCTTCAAACTTGCTTTGAAAACTTCAACCAACTTTTTAAAAGTTATTCTCGGGGAGAATTTAAAACATTCTCAGGAAGTGTCAAAACATGCAAAACCTTGGTGAAATGCCAGATGGCCTTCCTAAGTCATCTTGACCTTGACTGGCCTTTGCTTAGGTTCTCATTTCTCCTTGACAGGCATTTGCATGGACATCTGATAAACAAGGACAGTACACTCCTGAACAAATGTGCTGAACTACTTCATGGAACTGATTGAACAGGACACATTTAAGAAAACATCATTTCAGCAGCTTGCAAGGCTAAAATCTTAGAGGCAAACAGAAAGCTCCAAATCATGAGCACACACCTGACTGTTGAGTCCGAAGATCCAGTAATGATCACCCGTTCATCGTACTGGAGGCACAGGACAGAACCCGTGTGTCCGGTGAGAATTCGCTTGCATTCCAATGTATTCTTATCCCAGATCTAAGATAGCAAACATTCAAAACCAGAAAGCTCAGTAAGGTTTTCACCTTTCAGCACTTACTGGTTTGACTGGTCTGTTTTTTACTACAACACATCATCCATAGTGCAGTTAGAACATCTTTAGTGGCATCTGTAGAGTATTCTACAGGCTCTTTGGTACAATACATTAACGTCTTTGATATTACTGGCTTTACTATGAACACTGGTTTTACCCTCCTTGTCAGGGTACAGGGCACAGTAATTATGTAGCCTGTAATTACCGATGGACAAAAACTCTGCTAGTGAAGTCTGTAAGAAAACAGGGTCTCTCTTGCCAAATAAGAGAGGCGTACATGCTGTGCAAGTGTGAGATAAGGGAAGGAGAAGGCTAGGTTACTACCAAGAGATTGAGTAGGTGTCACTGAAATTAGGACACTGTTATTTATGGCATAGACACTGCATGTCATTAGTATGCCATTTTGGAGCATTCTCACCTTAATAGTATTGTCTCGTAGGCCACTTACTATCTTCTGATCATCATACTGTAAACAATAAACCCCTTTGCTTGTCTCGCTTCGGCAGTGGATCCTCTGTAAACTGTGCCTTCCACACCGCCAGTTTGACTCTATTGTCTTGAGGAGAGACAGGGGACAAAAGAGAAGTAAAAATAAAGCACAGAACTATCTCCCCTTTCTCTGTTTGCTTGAGAAGACAGCAGTTACTTTTCTTCACACTTTTTCCTGCAGTCAGGCCCATACATTGACATAATTGTTTTCTAGAAGTAACACACGTAATAAAACCAAGTAAATGGACAAAAGCCTGGACAACATATCATGGCTAAACTTGTCTGTGGTATCTGAAATGGTGAGGAAGAAGTGACCTAAAAGCTTTTTTCTGTCTCCAACCTTTAACCCTCTGTGACTCAACGACGAAGCAACTGAAGAGAAAGTCTCAGTTGAGCTCTAGCTAAGTGCTTATACAAACTTGTCACAACAGTGCCTGAGCACCGCTTTTGCCATTAGGAAACCACCAGAACACGGCATTTTGCTCACACTAGATACAAGGCAACAATGCTCAGTTGCCTCCTGTTTTCCTGGGTCTTAGGCTTGCGGTCTTTAGCAATGCACCTTCTCCCTGGGTCAGTTCCTGATACCTCCCTGTAACATCTTATTAGGTCTCATCTGCACTCGGTGGAGCAAAGTACTGCGGAACAGAGAAAATCAAGGTGGTAAGGTGCTGCTGTGACATCTGACGTGCAAGGTGTAGAGACTCCATCTGCAAACAGCTCACTGAACAATCCAACCCATCCTCTGCCTAAAGGAGCAGCGAAGCCTGGGACCTTATATAACTATCCCAGATCTACAAACTCTGGACAAACACAGACACATCAGATTTAATGAAATATTTTATTAGAATGCAATATTCTCAGAATTTCAGCATCATGAATAAATCAGGGAGATTTAAAAAAAAACAAACAACCAAACACCACCACATCTGGAAGCTGTTTCTTACCTCTATGTCCTGTATAATTTTGGGGTAAAGTGCTCTGTAGAAGGAGTTGGGTGGTGCAGTCCCATCAGGAGGTTTATTTTTAAATAGATATTGTCCCCTGGAAGACAAAGAACACTCCCATTGAACACAAATCATGTTTCAGCATTTTGGAGAACGGTCCTTCTGGCGTTTTACAAACCGGTAACCACTGTTGAAAAGCACAGAGATTCAGATTCAAACTTAATTTACTCAGTAACACAGGGTGGTTCCTTGTTTGTTTGCCCTGCAACATGTCAGTGTTGCATTTTGACACTGCAATAGTCACGAAAAATCTGTGCCTAGTCACTCAGGGAAGGGAAATATATTACCTATTAGGGACTTGAGCCCATTCAACTCAATAGGAGGTGAGAATGGCTCATGCCCGCAATACACATACCTATATCAGAGGTCACCTTTAAAGTAAAGTGTACGAAGAAAATGAAAGAAGCCAAGGAACCGTCCAACGCACTATGCATTCAAGGCTAGCTTTTATCCACATTAGCAGGAACAGTATCAGTTTTGGTACATGGACGTTTTACTGCTACTACTATATTTTGGTAAGCAACACTTCATCTGTGGTGCCTCCCTCATTTGAACACTGATTTGGAATACTCATATCCCAAGCTAGATTTTTGCTACAAAAAAAATCCGTAAACGGCAATCACTACCTGCTGTGTAAAAAACTTTATTTCCTCATCCTGAAGTTAAGAAGCCACCAAACACGGTGTGGAAGCTAGTAAACCCCACCATGGGCGTACTAACTGCTGTTCTGCCTGGCAACATGCCTCACAAAATGGAGAGAGGCACAAATGCCTCCAAGTGTAATCCTGGCATCAGAGGCACAGAGTTTACACTGGGCCAGCTCTCCACTTCTCCCTCCCTTGCTCCATTATGGCATAATTAATTCTTCAGTGCTTCCTTGCACATTTCTTTCTTGTCCTTTCCATACAGTATACCTTGAAACTCATTTGAGAGACTGTACATTAGCTGCCCTGATGTACTTGAACAAGGGAAATCACAACAATGAACCACAATATTTAGGTTATAAGGCAATAGTAAACTATAGGACCGAACAAACAAAATAACAAATGCTCAAGAAAAGAACTTCTGATAATTCTTTAAATAAAGTACTTTAAGTGTGACTTGAGAGAAAGGTACTTTCCACTTTGGACAGAGCAATCATCTGAGTCTTCAAATACAGTGACCAGCAGCCACTCATATGGGGACAAACACACGTGAAGAAGGGACACATGGATGCACTAACTAGATGGTTGCCTCTTTACTGTGATCCGGTCTGGAAGTGCATACAAGAAAATTAAAATTATTGGCCCAGGGAGAAGAAAAACGCTTTGGAGATACACAGAATACCTAGGACACATCCTGGAAGACTTGGGGTAGGTCTATGACAATCTGTATACTAGCCTATGTGCCTGAAAACCTGGCTATTGTTTCCATCTTTACTAGCTGATCTAATACAAGGTCTTGTTGCTACCTATAAGCCCTGCCTTGCTGCATGTAGACTCAGTTGTTTACAGTTCAGCTAAAGGATTGCTTGGAATTTCCACGGCATCCCAGTGACCCTTGTGCTGTGGCTCTGGGATAAAAGGAACTATTGTTTGCAGGTTTTGATGACTGGCCAATTCAATCAAGTATTCAGATGGACACAATCGTGCCCAGATTTTGGGCTTCTGTTTTATATTTCTCTAAATCTGTGTAACCCTTACTGCTCCCTGACAAGCTGTCAGTGAAGGCTACTGTGCTGCGGATCTGGGTGTTTCCGTTGTAAACCATGAGCTGCAAATGCTGAAATCAGGCAGCCCATGTGCAAAGTGAGGAGCTGTAAGCAAATAACACCAGTCATCTATCATTCTGAACTGTCCAGTTAGTCACCTCCTTGTTCCATGCATGGCGTTAGCACTGATTACAAGCTATAAAGCTCTATATGGCAGAGATGCAATTACACTGGATATTTCTTGTCTGCGTCACTTAACCACCCCACCGTGCCTGCAGTTGCATCTCCCAGAGCTAATCAGAGGGCAATCTGTTGCGTCAAAGCAACCTCCAGGATAGTGTAAGCCTGAAGAAGAGGTGCAGTAACAGGGTGTGACTGTCCTTTGAGATGAGAAGCAGGATTCTGCAACTGTTTTTTAGAAATGTCATGTGTTGTATGATGAGTAATCAGTGCTAATGTTATTTCTAAAATCTGGAGGAAGAAACTTGAGAACTATCAGCCAGGACCTCTGACAAGATGTAGAGAATAGGTAAAGTTCTACAGAACAGGAAAAAGACAAATGTAGGTCTTGCATTTTAAAAAAAGGGAAGAAGGTCCACCAAGGAAATGGTGGACCGTCCAACTCAACTTTGACAGCTTAGCAGTTTTAGAGCACACAGTCAATCAGATGAGTGCCTAGAAGATGACAAAGTGACAAACAACAGGCAACACTGTTCAATCCAGAATGCACCATGTCAAACTGACCTAATTTTTTCTCATGGGCTATTCTCATGACTTAGCAAGAGAAGTATGATCTTGGAAGAGCTTAAGGGTGGACACACAAATGGCTGGAAAGTACAGTTTACCAATGGTGCACTGTCAAACAGGATGGCAACTGGGATCTTGCATGGAGTCTGTCCTAGAGGTGTCACTATTGAGCATTTTCATTAATGACAAAGAATGGAAGAGGGAGTGCATTTATTACCTGGCCAATGATACTAAAGCTGGGAGAAGCTACAAGCACTTTGGAGGACAAGATTAAACTCATAATGCTCCTGACAAAAGGGAGAAATACCAAACAATAAATAGAATCTAATTCAATAAGGACAAGTGCCAAGTCCACCACTGAGTAACAACATAGGCATGCAAGATGAGGAATAATGGCTAAGTAGAACTTCCACAGAAAGGGTAACGAATTTTTTAACAGTATTATACCACTGTTTAAGCACAAAATGGATTGTCCTCTATGCATGCATGGAGGCATGCAAGCAATGCTTCCCAAACCACCAAACTCTGGTGATGCCTCAGCAGAAGTAAGACACCCAGCTGATTACACCATTCAAGAGGACAAGAGGACAAGACGACACAGGATTATGGTTGGTTAGCGCATCCAAAACGTAGGAAACATTATCATCTTCCAACATAGAAAATATTACTGCAAAAAGGAGAATGAGAAACTGTCCTGCAGGTCTGTGTAGGCTAAATATAATATGCCGAACTGTAGCTAGGAAGACAGCCTTGATTTTAGGAAAACATTTCTAACACTACAGTTAGTGAAACTGTGGAAGGCCTGGGGAACCTCGATCCATGAAGGTTTTTAAGAAGAAGTTAGACAAACATCTAGGATGGCTTAAGAGAAACCCGGCTCTGCCTCTGGGAAACAAGAAGGACTAAATAACCTCTCAAGGTCCTCTTCGGACTTCCTGTGACCTCAACAATACAGAGCAAAGACAGAAGTCCTGGAGAGGACAGGGCACTAAAAGGAATGCAAAAGTTACCACTGCCATGCTTGTGTTTATTTTACGCTCTTTCTAAACATTACACTATTGGAAGCAGATCAAAATAGTATTTATTTTTAAAGGATGTTTCATAATCCTGATTTACTCGCCTCTACTTTCCGAGACAAACAGTATAACAAAATTAACCATAAAACAGGAGTCTTTGTTTGCAACTCTGTATCTTTTTCTTTTTAATAGCAACCAAAATGCCTGAGCTGTCACTTTTATCTTGTTTATGAAATATTCATACCCAGCTTCCTTTCTGCCAACATCCTAGGGACACCCTTGGAAAAGAAAATTATGTATTAAAGGACGTACCCCTGAGAGGGAAAGTTCTAATGAAATGTTAACAGAGCAGCTTCAAACTTGAGTGAGACCCACACTGTAGTAAGGCTATTCCAGATGATTATTAACTAATCTATCTGCATTTCTAAAGTCCCCTATTCTCCGTGGTACCTACCCTCAGCTTCCAGTTTGAAAATTAAACAGATATCTAATAGGGAAAATCTGCTGAGGAAAACAAACAGACCTATCAGGAAACAACTAATTCATAGCACATGCTGCCCCACTGCCACCCCTAAAAAAGCTCTTCTGCTCTGAACTGCTGACTAGTTTAGTGTTCCCCTGGGGCGTACACAGCTTCTTAATTTGAACTGAATGACAGCTGGGCGTAAATATCTCAGTCTGTGTATCTGACTTGTCACAGTGGGATAAGAGCATGATCAGATGAGGAAGATGAGGAAAAAGCCCCCACATTGCCTGCATAGCCAAATGATGCCCTAACTCCCCAACTCCCGAATTTTGATTTAAGCAACTGTCAGGTTTGGAACCAACATGATGTTTCAGGGTGCTAAATAACCCTCTTCAAACATGGTTTGAAACACACAGCACCTACTGTCCTGAACGGGGGCAAAAGAGGTGAAGATGCAGTTTCCTCACCATCCTCTCCTCTCTGACAACCCCCTCCACAGGGAGTCTGTCCTGACCATTCTCTCGATGAGCTTCTTCCACAGCATGCCGTCCGACGTCACCCGGTACCACTCCTTGCACACCAGCTCAGCAGCACACAACGATTTGGCATCCAGGTATGACAGAATGTTCTCAGCAATGTGATCTAATCCCCGAGCTGGCGGAGGAAAAAAAAAAGATTATTTGCTGGGGAGACACGGAGTTTAAAACAACTCCCCTTCCTAGTACAAAGATACCCTCTCTTTCCATCTCCTCTTCTGCATGCAGAGCTGGACCAAATGCACAGAAGAGCATTTGCCGCTAAGTTCAGGAGCGAACAGCGTTCTCCAACTTCCTTTGGATATAACACAACAAGTCATTAAAAATAATAAAGAATCCAAGAAGTCATTCCAATCTATTTCGATGGGTTTTAGCACTAGGGGGATATTCTATGGATGGCATTTCCAACTCAGCGACGCAGCCCCCAAAATCTCTCTATATTAGGACCATTTCTCATCTCACTGCTACAGCTGTTCTCATGTTCCAACGGCTCAAAAGCTGTTTTTGCTAAAGCAGTAGCTTTTAAACGTAATGAAGAAAAAAATATATATTCCCAATGTGTGCCCTGAAGGGTAGTGGTACCTTTAGACATGGGGGAGGGAAAGATATGCAGATGCACAAGGAAGTCGAGAGGGAAGGAGAGGCTGTGTAAGGAGAAAGTGAAGCAGGTTTGCTAGTTTCATTTATTTTAGTGGGTGGAGGAAAAATATGCACCAAAAATGGTATAATTTGCAAATATTTTCCAGTGTGAATACCAGGACTGGCTTTGTTTCAACATGGCTGGAGTGAAACGTAAAGCAATTGCCTGGTTAGCACCAAGCAGCCCAATGTAACATCTGCGTAGCTGGGGGCCAGGGAAGGTTATGCTATCTTAACTGTAAGGATGTATGCAGTAATAATGTGCCCTTACCCACTCAAATTTATTCACCAGCACGACTTCAGGAAAATAAGATGCCTTTTAAATGAGACGTTGCATAAATACAGCTTCTCTTGGAGGCTGTTTAATTCACAAGTGAGACACACCATCAAGAGATTATCTCACTTCACAGGTCAAATTTCAGAGGCTTTGTGAAAGTTGTAGTTTAGACCCCATCATCCCTCAGGCATAATGTTCAGACCAACCAAAAAGGAAGCATGGCAGATTGGTATTACATGCATCTTCCCTCTGGTTCACATGTGGGACAGAGTTAAATACGTCTTTTCTTGCTTTTAAAACAACAGCCTCAAAGACCAGGCGCTGCTTGTGACATGGAAAGAAAAAGAAGCAAGTGCATTTTTACAGTCACATGTCCGTACTTCTGCAAACCCAAACTGGGTGCAATCAGCTGATTCTGATTAGAGTTCATGAGACACAAAAGGCCCAGCCTTTCCTTTTGTTAACCAAAAGACCTCAAAATTGTCTCCCAGTGCATGAAAACGAGAAAATCCAGCATGCCTCCTCCTGCTCCTTTCAAACATCCAAAATGTATAATACACTTTGGGTGAGACATTCTGCCCAGCGTTTTATGCTTCCATGCATACATAGAAAAAGCACGTGAATGATACCATGCACAACCAGAGAGTGCAGAAAGGGGTCTGACATTTCTTATCTTTATAGATGCAAAATTAGATGTCAACCTGCAAAATAAAAGCATCAGCAGCCTTTATTATGTATTTAATCTGAAAAGATATATAGAGCCGCTATATAAAATTATTTAAAAAAAGAGAAAAAAGAGCATTTGTAAATGTAAATTGACTCTACACAATTCGTAGAAAGAGAGATACGTTTTAGTGAACGTGAACTGGAATTTGCAGGAATTCTGCAATTTGGTAGGGCAGACACGGACATTGTGTCCCCCTGCTTCCCCACCCTGACACCTGGAGCCCTGAGCTCTCTCCACCGGGTGGAAATGGCATATTTGCTTTCCCAGCCTATGTTGCTTCCAATGGGCCCACAGACATTTACAGACCCACCAGGACATTTACAAATGCCTGCCTGTGTAGTATCCACACCAGTGGCTTTATGTCAGCAGCGTCACAGCAAGAAATTATTCTATACAGGGAACAACTGGTGGCTTTAGGAAGCAGGGCTGCACTGCATAAACTGGGCACAGTAATGTTCACCCACGAGCCTGCCTCTGACCCACCTGCCCTTTCTGGATCATCAGTAGTTGCACTTCAGATCTTGCTGCAATGAGGTGTTGTAACTACTTCCATGACCGTAAGTCATCCTTTACCATTGATCCTAGACCCTTCGCGGAGAAGGAATACTAATGTTTTGGCCTTCCTTCCTCACATGTATAAGTGGGTGGGCAGAGCTATTTTGGCCTGGCTGCAAACTCAGTTTTATTATTTTGTTTCTTAGGAACAGCCCAGCTCACTGAGACATATATCTAACAAAGCATTGCTTCCTTAAAAAAGAGAAATCTCTGCTCACAAAAGTTTTTGCTAAATCGATGTGAAACATGATTAGCCCTTCAGCCCTCCATACCAACAAGAATGTTTCAGTTATTTCACACATGAAACCCTTAAAAAAATGACTTTCCTCATGAAAAATGTTAAACAGCTTGGAAATGCTAAGCAGAGACCTTATTTTTCAGAAACAGAACAAAGTCTGTTAAGTACACAGTTAAGCTGTATTTTCCAAACAACCTTAATTCTGTTCAAAGTAGTGGGAAAATAATTTGAGCCAATTTTACTCCATTTCAGTAAAACGTGCTGATGATCTAAAACTACCTTTAATTTTGGTCAGTCTTTGGGACAGTGCTAGGAGGACAGAGATAAGATGCCTCATGATTTTGAAGTAGCTTCATTGTTTTATTTACTCGAGGGGGAGAGCAGGAGAGAGAATGAAGGACTAAAAATGGAACCAGAATACTGAACACTTGAGAATTTCAGAAAGCTAAAAAATACTTAAAAAGTTTAGTCTTTTTTATTACGTGACTTAATTTAAAATTTTAGGTTTTCCAAGGCAGTTTCTTACCTTCCCCTTTCCCACTCCCCTCATTAGAAACCTGCCTACACTCAGGACATCCTGCACAGACTGCAGAGTCTGCGCCAGTGTAATTCCTTGCCATTAATTTTCTCCCTTAGAGCTATATTCACTAGGACATTAGCACTTTGCAAATATGCAAATTGATGCACATACATTATTTAAGCACACAGTTCCCACAACTATTCAAATACTCACATATTAGCTGCCTGATTCCTATCTGTTCTGCATTCTGAGACAGTAAAATTAGCTGCTTCCTGGGTAACTGTGAAAAGACCACTAACAAATATGGCATGGCTAGGAAATTTTGAATGCCTCTGAAAATATTTATAATGTGCACAAAATTTTCAGAAAAAAAGCCTGTACGATGAAATTAAGCAAGTGCAAATGAGATGTGTTGGCTTACTCTGATGGACTTTTGTGGAGAAAGACCTGGAAAAATTGTGCATGTAACTATATGTATACTTCCACTGTAAAAGTGGGGAAACCAATGCACTTTCAAAATACTCTCTTTTTCAGAAACTGAACAGCTCCACAAGTTATAATGCTGCTCTAAGTACACGAGATTATTGCCTTTGGACTACTAAAAACTAACATAAAGCAGGTACTTAGCATAACTAAGATTTTTTTTTTAATGCTACAACAGCCATTTGATTACTGGGCACAAGCAGCTTAAAAATCCAGTGAGTCTACATATTTAACTTCATACCAAAACTCCTGCAGTGATTTTATGCTTTGTACAATTCACACTTAAATATGCTTTTTTCTGTCGTTTAACCCTAGAATTTAAATTTCATGTTGAGAAATCCTTTCTGAAGAATTATCAAATGACTGGATTGAACAAATTCTTGGAGTTCAGCAGTTCTACAAAGCTATTCACAGAACAAGCTTTTGGCAAGCAACTCTTCTCTTCAACTAGCTATTGAGAGACAATGCCTGTAGTGGTTCTTGGTCAGGTCCATCTCAAACTAAGGACCTGTGCCATGGGAATGCTAATCTGTTATCTATCTATCTATCTACAGAGGTACAATCTAATGGTCTGAAAAAAAGACCAAAGAGGCAGGAATTTCTGTCTGGTTCTGAAACTCTCTTGCTGTATATATTTTATTTCCCACTGCCTCAGTTTTCCCATCTATAAGACAGGGCCAACACAAAACTGCACGTACACTACTACTTTATGTGTGCATTCTGTCAGATACACCCAATGCCACATCTGAGAACAGCTGGAATAATATTCCCAATGGAAAGCACTATGGAGATGCACAAAATAGAAGATTTCCATCCTTTGATCTTATGTCCTCTATTAGCAATAAACACATAATCAAAGTGATGGCTTCAGGAAGGTATTTTAGTAGGAAAGAGAGACAAAAAAAAAAAATCCAAGTAAGAAAAGGGAAAACCTAAGCTGAGCAACCAGAAAGAGCAGTAGTTTTAATTTTAAAAATTTTCATTATTTGTGCATTGTTGTGGGCATTATGAGTACAACTGCCTGCCCTGTGGCCGATGACTATCCTTACGTTACATATATGAGCCATCATTTACTCCTAGCCAAACCATGGTGGTATTAGATCATTCCTTGAGAGATGGTAGGAATACAAAATAAAATATTACTACATTTCATCCTGGTATAGAGGATAGCATTCAAAAGCTATCATCTGTTTTGCAAGCTGACCCTAGAAGAGATCTCCAGCAGGACAGGCCAGAGCGGAATAGTCTTCTGAAAGACAAGACGGAGGAGCAAGCTCCCTCTGCCTGCAGAAATACCTGGCAGTGCAGTGATGAAGTCCCGCTGTAACATGGGTTTGAGGTATGAGTTTATATGTCCGTGCTGGTAGTGACACATCTGGGAGATGAGGTGCTCCACGAACTCCACCTGGTCAGACTCGGACCACTGTTCAAAATACTTGACGCAGAGTTCCTTCTCCTTCTCATAGCTTGCAGACAGTTTTCTTTGCTTGGGCACAATCATACTGGAAGTGCCATTGGCAAGTTTTGTCTGTAAATAGGAAGGAGAGAAACAACCCAAATCACACATATGAAAAGAAGCACAAGTGGTTTTACAATTTG